TGAGGGAAGTACTAGTGTGTGAGCCTATAAGAGGTCTATACCAGTGACCCTCTCAGTAGTGTGGAAGTCTTAGAAGGGTGACAGAAGTCCATGGTAGTTACTCAAGGGTCCTCAGCTCTGGACTCCTTGAAAAGTATCTCTGTTTACCTGCAAGGGTCATTACAGGAAACTTTTAAGCCTGTAATGGTCTATCCCTGTGTCCTTCCATTCTCAGTGACACGTAGAAGGTGAACCTTTGAGAAAGTGAACCTTTGACTTGAAAGCTGGGTCCCAGGGTTTTTTTTAGATGCCTGGGAAACAAAAGGGAAGAAACAGCAGAGGGAGGGCTGGTCCCTGAAAAACACTCTTCTTTGGAATAGGTTCAACTCCTCCATCAAAAGAACAGGCACAAGCCTGGACTGGTTTGGCTCAGTGGATAGAGCGTCGGCCTGCAGACTGAAAGGTCCCGGGTTCGATTCCGGGCAAGGGCATGTGCCTTGGTTGCGGGCACATCCCCAGTGGGGGGTGGTGCAAAAGGCAGCTGATCGATGATTCTCTCTCATCGATGTTTCTAACTCTCTATCCCTCTCTCTTCCTCTCTGTGAAAAATCAATAAAATATAATATTAAAAAAAAAAAAAAGAACAGGAACAACTGTCTGAGCAAGCCCCTGGGACATCAGTATTAGATGCATGCCCCCAGGGCAGTAAAGACCAATCCCCCAAACCAAATTGGGCACCCCTCTGAGCAGTCTCTCTGGATCCCAGTGATGGAGTGAGAAGTCTTCTGAAACTGCAGAGTCCCCAGAGCAATGGAAATGGAAAAATTTGTCACAGTCTAGTTGATATGGGTCCCCCACTGGGTTCATTTTGAGCTGCTCAACCTTGCTCTCCTCTGTTTCCTGTTTTCCCTTCCGGATGGTTGAGCATGCTTTAAGCTCAGAAACCATCTGAGTTATAATCTATGCGTTCTTCTCCCTCAACCAAATATTTTTTATTAGCAACTATTTCCATATTAATGAATATGAAAAATAATTAATGTAACATGAGGAGCAGGCTTGAAGGGAACTTTGTTAGATGGCAGTTCCTAAAGAGGACATCTGAGAAGACTGTTTTCGTGACCTTCCCATGCAGCTTTACTGAGTGCCTACAGGAGCCTCTTCCGGGTAGTCAGTGAGCAAGGCCTAGAATGAGTGCTGGGAAATATGGCTGACCACCTCGAAGGCACCTGAGAGCAGTCAGCAAAAAAGTCATTCAGATGTTAGATATTGGCCCTTCCGCACTGGTCCTCGGATTTTCTTCTTGTTTCTCCAGTTTTCTCTCTCTGGGTCTTTTTACTCTACTTCCTGGAGACTTTCTCAATGTTAAACTCTAACCAGACTTGTCTATTTAGCTTGTCAAATTCTACCTCATCTATTTTGAAGTTCTGTTATTGAATATACATTTCTTTTATTGTATATGTATTTAGAATTTTTGTCTTTTTGTACATTTTATCATTATGAAATGATCTTTCTCTCTGTTAACACTACTTGTCTTGAAGTCTATTTTGTCTGATGTTAATATGAGCACAATAGTTTTCTTTTCCTCTTGTTTTTATTTATTAAAAATTTTAAAATATATATATATATTGATTTCAGAGAGAAAGGGAGAGGGAAAGAGAGATACAAGCATCAATGATGAAAGATAATCATTGATTAGCTGCCTCCTTCATGATCCCTACTGGGAATCAAACCCACAACCCAGGCATGTGCCCTTGACTACAATTGAACCTGGGACCCTTCAGTCCATAGGCCTACACTCTGTCCACTGAACCAAACCAGCTAGTGCTTCCTCTTGTTTTCATTTTTTAAATGATTTTTTAAAATTTTATTAAACTCAAAGTAGAATGATTCTTATGATATCTGTAAAGGCTGCTCCAGTACAGATTTTAAAAAAACCCTAAAGAGCCATTTTCCATTATCATTTCTTCTTAAAATAGCTTTACTGAGGCATAATTGACCTTCAGTAAACTATACATATTTTTAAATATACAATTTGACAAGTTTAACATATATATATATACACCATCACCACAATCAAGATAATAAACTTATCCATCACCCTCAGACATTTTCTTGTATCCATTATAATCCAGCCTCCCTTCCTCCCCATCCCATCCCAGGTGGCCATGGATTTGCTTTTGATTACCACAGATTAGTTTATGTTTTCTAGAATTTTATATGATGGAGTCATATGGTTTGTACCTTTTGTCAGCTTGAATAATTTTTAGAAATCTATCTTCAAGTTCACTGATTTTTCCATAGTATCAAATCTGCTTTTAATTCCATCCAACAAATTGTTTATTTCAGATTTTATATTTTTCAGTTTTAGAATTTTCATTTAGTTTTTTTATATTCTTCTAAGATACAATCATCTTGTCATCCATTATATCCAAATTTTTCTATAGATTCTTTTTAAAAAAAATAATTTAAGTTCACATTTGCTAATTCTAACATCTGAATTATCTGTTAATCATCTTCCAGTGACTTTTATTTTGGTTATGGTTGCATTTTCTGGCTTCTCAGGTCTAATAATTTTTTAAATATATATATTTTATCGATTTTTTACAGACAGGAATAGAGAATTAGAAATATCGATCAGCTGCCTCCTGCACACCCCTTATTGGGGATGTGCCTGCAACCAAGGTGCATGCCCTTGACCAGAATCGAACCTGGGACCCTTCAGTCTGCAGGCCGATGCTCTAATCCTCTGAGCCAAACCGGTTAGGGCGAACTTTTAATGAATGCTGGTCAGTGTGAGTGTAAGGTTGTAGAGACTTTGGCTTCTGTTATTTTCCTCTGCAGAGTATTGAATTTTGTTCTAGAAAGCAATTAAGTTGGCAGATCACCTCAACTATATGGAGGCTTGGATTAAAGCTTCGTTAGATCTGGTTTAGTTCCGTTTTTTTCTTAGTCTCATGAGCTTTCGATGGAAAAACCAAATTGTTTGCCCATCCCCTCTAACTTTGTAGAACTTGAATCCTAAACTCTGTCTTCTCAGCACTGGATAGCTACTGAGGTTGCTGCTGGCCTCTTTTAGCCTTCCAGCAGATGTTTCCACTGGGCTCCTGGGAGTCTCACCTGCACACAGTAGTTCAAAACTCAGCCAGCCCTGGCCAGTGTTTCTCAGTGGTTAGAGTATTAGCCCGCACACCCGAAGGTCTCAGGTTTGATTCCAGGTCAAGGGCATGTACTTGGGTTTGTGGGTTCGCTCCCTGCTCCCAGTAGATCTTTCCCTGCTGGGGACCTCTGTATCTGCTGTGTGTGGCTTTCATTTTTGCTTCAAGGCGATGCAGTGAGGCCGGGGAACTTCTGAGCAGCCGGGAGTGAAGCGATAGCCTTCGGGGGGCAGGTGATAAGCATTGGGCTTCTTCAGCCTGGAATGCAGAGAGGTGGCATATCTCCCATCCAAGTACTAACCAGGCCCGACCCTGCTTAGCTTCCGAGATCAGACGAGATCGGGCATGTTCAAGGTGGTATGGCCGTAGACAAGGTAGCACATCTCAACGTAAAGCCATGGCCGGTGTGGTGAAGGCTGGTGTGAACCCTGATGCCAGGTCCCGAGATGCTGGGGGGAGAGGGTTGCTTTGGAAACCGGTAAGTTGAGTATAAAGAGACGAAATTTACCATGGCAGACCAGACACTTGAGAAACTATTACAGGTAGCTCTTCTGGCAGATGGCTTAAGTCCATTGGGGTTTGGACAAATAAATGAATGACAGAACTCACCTCCACCCTCCCTTTCCCCACCCCACCCCCCCCAAACAAAGAGAGAGATGGAGGCTTTTAAAATGTAATGACACATGTATAGCCATTAATTCATACATCAAAGAGAATAAGCATGCTCTTACTGGGCTGGGTAGAGAACAGGCAGCTGGCTGTAGTAGAAAAAACTTGACCTGAATGAAGATCTAGGTTCGAATCTTGATTCCTCAACTTAATTTGCTGTGTGACCTTGAGCAGTTTCCTAACCTTTCTTACCCAGACAAGGTTCTGATGAAAGTTATAAATAAGTCCATTACATAATTTTCAGTAGACTCCATAAAGCAAAGGTCAGCCCGAGTCCTAACTGAATCACCTGGGTTTTTACTGAACACGCATTTGCTGAGCCCTACCAACTACCAGGCTGTGTACACATATCTCCCCTGTTCCAGAAAGGCTCCTGAAGTGAAGGCGCAGTTCTGCTCCGTCCTGCAGACCTTCCTCAGGAGGGCGGGAGGCTGTGAAGGTGAGCGTCCCCGGATCCTCTGCTGGTCACAGGTGGCATGCATGGTGGGCGAGAAGAGCCTTGTGCCACCTGGGCCGGCCGACCTGATCCCTGTCTCAGCAAACAAGACCCGCTTCCCTCCACGCCACTTTGCTAATAACCAGGCCACAGGTTTCACAGCCTACTGATAATGCCAGATGGTGATGATATGGGTTTCAGCCACTTCTGCTTTTCATTTACTCATTTCTACTGAGAGTCTGTAGGTGCCCAGCTCTGGGACAGGAGAGTCGAAGGTCTTTGGGGGAAGTGGAGAGGGTGAGAACGAGGGACCTGTGGGTGTCTGAGGTTTCTTCCCCTCCTACAAAAAATCGTGTTTCTAGCATCTGAGTGCCCACATCCTTCTGATTAATTAAACTTACCTCAGGGCCAGCCATTGTGTTCCCATTCCTTAGCCTCTGGTCACAGAGGTTCCGTGATGTCAGTCTGATAAGCAGATAAGCACTGGTCAGTGTGTGTGTGTATGTGTGGGGGGGTGTTGCACCTGCAGTGATGACTAAGTCTGCCCACCCAAGACCCAGCATTTAACACTCCAGTAATATTCACATGTTTTCTTGCCTCAGTGAACGTTTCCCTTGGTCCAGCCTTTAATTGCATTGTGAGCTTTTATTTGAGTTTTTGCCCAGTTGCCATGTTGGTGGGAGGCCTGATTCCATCCCTCCTCATGTTGCCTCTGCCGTCGGAACTTATTTAACCTCGACCCCTTTTCTTTCCTTTTCCAGAACTCACATGCTGCGTGTCAGACTGAGCTACCCCCGTTTCATCCTATAATCCAAGACTGGCTCCACTGCCCTGCTGACGTCCATGGCCGTGCCCGGGAAGGAGGCGGCCCCGCCCCCAGCACCCCTTGGAGACTCGATGAGGGGGGGGAGGGGGAAGGAACTGGAGGGGTGCACGTCCAAAACGCCGAGTCTCCCCGTGTGAATCAGTGTCACCTTGCTTTCCTCAGAGACCTCGCTGTCCCCCGAGAGACCTGCCTGTGCATTACGGGAAAGAGAGAGCCACTCCGCCTCCTCCCTGCTCACACCCTGCACCCCGCACAGCAGCTCTGGGGGCAGGGGGGGCGGCTGAGAGCTCCGAGCCATCGCTGCCCTGCATGCACCAGCTCAGCTCTGTTGTCAGCGGTTCGACTGTGTATGGGAGGGACATGGCATCTTTCTGAATGGATTTTCCTGAACAGATGTGCCAGTGTTTATGCAATTCACAGTATTTCCCTGGTCCTCGCTGTTCCTGTCACAGGCTTTTTCTCACTTGGCTTCATAGTGATTTTTTTTTTTTTTTTTTTTAAACGGGGAAATTTTCCTCTATGCCTCCTGCTTCCTATATTTGATCCCTTCCCTACCTTCCAAGGTACAGACTCACCTGAGGTTCTGACAAATGATAAGAAAAGTGTCTTTGGGAAGCCTGTGCACTCTTCCTATTGTCTGTATTTTGTCACCGAAGAGAAGCTGGCGTTCTGCGTGGTCGCTGACAGCTTCCGCTGGAGCAGGTGTTTACACCGAGCCAAGCATGTCTATCACTGTGACAAGCCGCTTGTGTGTTGTCCCGTTTACCTACGGCCAGACCAGCCGGCGGGGCACTGCAGCCAGGTTGCGTCTTCAACACGGCTCTTTCTTAAGCAGATGGAATTATTTGGCCACGGAAGGTGAAGTGGGAGAGCTGGGGGTGCAGGTGGGTCTGTGGCTAGGACACTGTGAGCCCCCACCCTTCCTGCCCAAACGCTTCTGTGCGCACCTGTGCCTGGGCCCCAGGAGACCTGCCTGCAGCCTGGTTTCCATCGGCTTGGGCTCTGTCTGCTGTCAGCACCAGCCCTCGGAGGCATCACAGGCTGTGCTCTGTGCTCTGTGCATACAGCCGAAGGGCCAGGAACTTGGTGCTGCCCCGGCTCCCCGAGCAGATGTGAAGTCTGGCTGCTCCCCTGCCCTCCGTTTGCAGGTTCAGGCTGCAGAGCACCCGGTCGCAGCACCAGGAGGAAACCGGAGCCTGGCCTCCTGCTGTCCATGGGGCCTGCAGCCGGGAGGCAGCGGGGCGGCTGAGGGTCGTGCCCCGAACAGCCAGGCGGTTGCAGGACAGAGTGGCTGCAATTGAGTGGATCCCACCCCCGCAGTCCCCAGGCAGAGTGAAGTGTCACTGAGATGAGCGGGACCTGCTGGTGCCGCTCTGCAAAGAGGATGTGATGATGCATGCTGCTGACGGCGAGGCTTGGGGTCTGAGCTGCCTTCTCCTCTTCTGGTTTTGCAGTCCCCGTGGCTTCTCTCTGGAGGAGGAGTTGGCTCTCAGCTTAGGCTCCCGCGGGGGTGACCCGGGGACATTCTCACCACTGCCAGCCCCTGGGCTATTCTGGGTGTTGGCTTGGGGCTCCACGGGTGGGCCTGTGTCAGAGGAGCTCCGTGAGCGAGAGGAGGTGGCAGGTCTTGCCCTGAGGGTTTCCCAAGAGAAGCCCCTTCAGAACAGACCCCGATTCGGGGGACAAAGGGGACAACTGGCTCCACAGCACACGCCACGTGTGTTCCTGAGAGACATGGGGAAGCTGCCTCTCCGTGCCCTGCCCAGGATTTATTTTCTATTTTTTAAAATATATTTTATTGATTTTTTTTACAGAGAGGAAACGAGAGAGACAGAGAGCTAGAAACATCGATGAGAGAGAAACACCGATCAGCTGCCTCCTGCACACCCTCCACTGGGGATGTATTCCCCCAACCAAGGTACATGCCCTTGACTGGAGGAGTCGAACCTGGGACCTTTCAGTCCGCAGGCCAACGCTCTATCCACTGAGCCAAACCAGGTTTAGGCTATCCTGAATGTATTGTGCCTCGTGGACGGTGAATGCTCCCCTCGCCCTTCCACCCCACAACCACGTGAAACGTGCCTGTCGGTTAGAGAAGCAGTGGGCTGCCCGTGATGCTGCTCCAGCTCCATTCTCTGCCTTGTTACCAGCCCAGGAGAGTGGAGACGGGCCAGGCCGGGCCTGAAGGAGGAGCGGGAGGCCCGGCCCAGGTCCGGGCACATGTGGCTCTGGCACAGGTGCAGCTCCTTTGAGCCACGTGTGCCAAGCAGGCTCTTCCCCCGCCTTGTGGCCAGAGCTGCTCTGCAGCCCCCTCCTCCTACGAAGAGGATGTTGAGTCAGAGCTCACGTTCTCACTTCACCTCTGGAAAGCCCCGCAGCGTTCGAGTGAACACTTCCAGGGAAGCGGAAGGACGCCAAGAAGCCCCCGTCGTTGGCCTTTGCCGGTCTGAGCACTCGGTGCTGACAGGCTTTCTCAGCCACCCCCTTCCTGGGGCCGCCCTGTCACCATTGTGTGTGTCAGTGTTGTGCAGTGAGCTTGCGGGTGGACATACAGCCTGTGTGTGTGTGTCCATGCGCAGTGGGTGCTCGCTGAGCCTGGTCTGTGCTCCCTTGGATGAGATCCCAGAAGCTCTGTAAGTCACCTCCTCTCGCATACCCCTCTGATCCCCCAGTTTCCTCTCCGGAGGGGGTGCGAAAGAGGAGGACACAAGGCTGGCTTGTTAGCTCGCCTCTCAAGTCCACCTTGCCCACAGCCCAGTTTCTGTGTCAGTGACCAACCAGGAAAACAGAAGCCTCTCCAAGTATCAAAACAGGGGTTTTACTGCAGGTAATCATAGCACAGAAATCAGAAAAGCTGAGAGCGAAGAGCAGTCCCGAGGTGAGTTGGAAGGCTGAGGGGACACGGGAGAGGCCATGTTACAAGAGCCCGGGTGCAGGAACGCTGGGAGGAACCTGACACCACAGGGGGCCTATCCGCAGGAGCTGCAGCCACAGGAGGCACGGTCAGAAACCCCCCAGGCAGAGACGGGCCGGCTTCTCCCTAGCGGGTCCCTTCCAGGTTTCTGCAGGTGCCTCTTGTTAGCTACCCCCAGTGAAGCTAGCCCACCTGGGGGCCTGGGACAGGCAAGCTCAGTGGTCAGCTCCCCACCACTCAGCGGATCCAGGGAGGGCGAGGAGCAGGTCTGAGGGTAACCCAACCATGACATGCGTGGCCTCCGTCTGCTCTGTATCGTGTCCGAGCCTGGGGTTCAAGCCCCATGCCATCCTGAGCTCCTGGTGAGGGGAGACGGGAGATTTTTTTTTTTTTCTACCCAGAGAGGAAAGTGCATTTGGGAAGGAGGAGGGAGGGAGAAAGCCTTTATTCTTAACAGTTGTCCCTGTCTTCCTTTGGGGGACTTGACCCATGTAGCAGCCCCCCTCCCCATGCCCCTCAGGAAAGCTGTGACCCCGTTATCCGTCCACCCCTGCCCCACGTCGCTTCCCCGATCTCTGGTTTCCCTGCCAGAGAACAGTGACCCAGAACACGCATCAGTGGTCATGCGTGTTCCCCCAGGACCATTCGTTCAGAGAGAGAGATTAGTGTGCACCATCTATCTGTAAGTAGATGCCACCTACTAATCCATTTGTATCATGTTTCCAATAAATGTATGGAAATGACGCCTGGTTATGCTGTCCTCTGCTGGGACAGTGGCTCAGCTGTCAGGGGGTGTGCACAGAACCCTGGTCTCAGGTGCTCCTGGTCTCAGGTGCTGCATCCCCCGCATAGCTGAGGGCCTGGGGGAGTCACAGGCCAGGCCAGCGACCTGACGTCCCCACATGCTGAGACTCTCCGGGTTTGCATTTTCTTCCGCTGTCCCATAAGCCAAATGGAGGTTTTGAGAGGCCAGGTCACTCCCATAGGGGGCCTTTGACCCTGTGTCCCCCAAGCCTGGAGGTGTGAGGAGCAACAGGCAGACGTTTGCCCATCAACCTCTTGGCACTGCTCTGCCCGGTGCTGGCCGCGGGGTGTGAGCTGAGGGCGGTGCTGTGCCCGGTGCCTGGGGAAGGCTCTGTGCAAAAGGAGTGGCCACAGGAGCTGCGTGTCCCACAGACAGAAGCCCGGCACCCTTGACTCGGACCGTCCCCCTGGGGCCTGAGAGTCAGAAATAACAATGTCTGAGTTAACTCAAAAGGCAAAGGGAGCCTGATCAAACGCCCTGCACCCTCCCTTTCTTTCCTGGGCGCCTGCCTGGTAGAGGTTATTCTCTGTGCGGATCTTACTGGTTCCAGCCTGTCTGACCGCTCTGTACACTCTGCCTCAGTTGCTCTGCCGGGCCATTTCGGGCTCACTCGAGGCTCCTCCAGCCCATGTTTGGGAGGAACACCTGTGAGAGGGAGAGAGAGATAGCCCTCCCCCGACCCCCACCATGGAATCTCTTGGTTCTTGGTGTCTTTTTATCTAGACTTTTCATCCTGACTCGAATAATTCCTTCTTTCTGGAAGCTGATCTGTAGAGCTCAGAGTGTCCCATGCCCTATCTGCCAAGGTGTACAACCTTAAGTTCCATTGCCGAGACTGGGTTTTTTATGGTCAAACTTCCTCAGGAGGTTCTGATCTTGCTCCTGGACTGCAGGGGTCACTGGAGGAAACCATGTGACCTGAAGGGGTTGTTGCTGCCCCACAGCTGTGGGTGCCAACTCCCCAGGGGCCTTTGTGCTGCTTGCTTAGTGGCCTTTCTACATGTTCGCTAGGAGCTTGTTTTCTAAAAAAAAAAAACAACAACAACAAAAAAAACAACACCACGTTTTTATTTATTTCAGAGAGGGAGGGAGAGAGAGAGAGACATCAATGATGAGAGAAAATCATTGATCGCTGACTCCTGTACACTCCACACTGGGGATCGAGCCTGCAACCTGGGCATGTGCCCTCATCAGGAATCGAACTGTGACCTGGTTCATACATCGACACTCAACCACTGAGCCATGCCGGTCAGCTGGTCAGGAGCTTATTTTCTCATTTTCAGAACCAGCTATTCCAGTCCTTTGTCACTCCCTAAGCCCTCACACACACACCAGAGCCAAGCCGTCTAAGAATCCCTTCACCTGTCTTCCCCTCCGCCCCAAGGCCCTCTGTATGCAATAGTCCCTTTCCAACAACCCAAGGAGGCACCCCGTCGCCTCTAGAGGACCCTTCTGGCACCCACATGCTGAATCCCTCCCTTCCTGACCCCCGCACCCCCTTCTTCCCCCCCTTTTTTTTGCAGTAGAATGTCCTGACTGTGACCAGACTGTCACTTACTAGCTATATGACGTTGGGCAAGTTATTCAGCCTCTCTGTGCCTCAGTCTCTTCATCTATAAGATAGGATAATGGTATCTACCTCATAAGGACTACATAAATTGTACAATGCTTAGCACAGGACCTGGGCAGAGTGTTTGTGTTTGTTCTATCATCATTTTCTCCCCTCTCCCACCACTGGATTTAAATTTCCCCATCTAGTCAACACAACAGCCAGAACATTCCAACCACCACTTCTGTCCTCTACTTAGCTTCACCTGCAGCTACTGGCCTGTCTCCCTGTGCTGGCAGGCACATTGGGAAGAGGGAAGGGTTGTCTCCATTGCTTCAAATCTCAATTTCTCAACCCATTATAGCACTTTATGGCTTCCATCCTGCCCCTCCTCCCAGCCACTCACTGAAATTGCCGTCGACAAAGGCATTAGTGACCTAATTGCCAAACCCGACACTGTTTTCAGTCATCGCACTTGAACTTTCTTGAGCATTGGAAGCTGTTGTCATCATATTACTTCTCTTTGCTCATGACACTGACCCCATCATTCGCTACCCAGAGGAAAGCTAAGTAACATTCAGATACTTCTCATAGTTCTTTTCTCCAGATTTTTTTACAAAGACAATTTCAGTTACAGTGGTGGGTCACCTGTGAACCCCGTTCCCATGTTCCTCCGTCTCACGAGCAAGCACTCTCTTTCATTTGGTGTTTATCACCCCGAATGCGTGATTTTACACAATTAATGCATATCTATGAATCTATAATCAATACAGAACATGTTTTGCATATTATTAAATTTTATCCAAAAGACAGTCTATCACTTTTTTTAAAAAAAATTAATCCTCACCCGAAGACATTTTTCCTTTGATTTAGAAACTGGAAGGGAGAGGGAGAGACAGACAGAAATATCAGATAGAAACATCAATTGGTTGCCTTCAGCACATACCCTGACCAGGGCTAGAGAACCTGCAACTAAGATATATGCCCTTGACTGGAATCGAACCTGGGACCCTTCAGTCTGAGAGCTGATGCTCTATCCACTGAGCCAAACCAGTTAAAGCCATTCTATCACTTTTAAAAATATATATATATATATATATATTTTATTGATTTTGTACAGAGAGAAAGGGAGAGAGATAGAGAGCTAGAAACATCGATGAGAGAGAGTCATCGATCAGCTGCCTCCTGCACACCCCCTACTGGGGATATGCCCGCAACCAAGGTACATGCCCTTGACTGGAATCGAACCCTTCAGTCCCCAAGCCAACGCTCTATCCATTGAGCCAAACCAGTTTTGGCCCATTCTATCACTTCTTAAAAAGCTTTTGTTAAGAGTACCAGACAATGGTTTGTTAATCCAGGTTTTCAATCCAAGATACTTGAACAGACTGTCAAACACACCCTTTTGTTTTCATTTTTAATAAAGATATATTTTTATTGATTTCAGAGAGGAAGGGAGAGGGAATGAGAGACAAACATCAACGATGAAAAAGAGTCATTGATCACCTGCCTCCTGCACACCCCCTACTGGGGATCAAGCCCCAAACTCGGTCATGTGCCCTGACCAGATTCGAACCACCACCACCACCACCACCGGTTTACAGGTCAATGCTCAACCACTGAGCCACACCAGCCGGTCACATCCTTTTGTTTTCAGATCAGCTTTCTTCAGCATGCAATTAGGAGTTCTGAAAGTGCTTTACTTTTTTTCATGAAGCACTTTGCAGCCTGTCTGCGTATTTTATGTTTGGCTCTTACCCTCGTAAAAGGTGCCTCCGTTCTGCTCTTTTTAATGGGCACTCTCTATACTCGAGTAGAGAGATTGCCTTGCCTTTTTATGTTCTTATTGCAAAAACCCCTGGTTTCCTTCCTATTAGAGGTTTCTTCTGGGCTTTTTACTGGGTCTTTCTCTACGTGTCTCACTTGTAGGGATTAAAAAAAAAAAAAAAAAAGGATGATTCTTAGTCTTCTTCACTCTTTCCTCAGGTGACCCCATCCATTCCCATAAGCTCAACTCCGAATTAGTAAGAGGAAGATTTTGAAATCCTCCTTCCAGCCGGAGTGAGGACTGTACATGTTTACCTGGAGGTCCTCCGACTTGTCTCACTCTATCTGCTCCTCCCAGTCGGCTCTGCTACTTATGTGCTCAGTGTGTCACCATCCATCCATCACCTACAGTCCCCTGTTTCCTTACCTAGACTGTGCCCCATGCTGCCCCTTCACAGTCCCCCCACCCCTCCCTACCGCCTTTACTCAGGTCCTTGCTTGGAATACAGACCGTTTCCTATGTGGGTCAACTCCGCCTCTCCCTCACCAGTCTGTCCACAGTGTTACCAGAGTTGGCTGATCAAAATGCCTAACAAATCATCTTTGACTTCTTAAAAACCCACACATATTCTCCTTCCTGCCATATTGAGGGTCTTGGGGCCAATCCAGGCTCCTGAGCTTTCAGGGCCCAGCCTGCAGGTCCTGTCTCCTAACTCAGTGCCTAGGCCGCCTCCTTTCTTGCCTCAGTGATCTCTTCACCCCTCTCTGCGCACTGAGTCGTTTCACAGCTCTGTGCCCTTGTTCGTGCTCTTCCCCTCGTCATGGATGCTGTTCCCTTCACTCTTTTCCTCATCCTCCAGGACTCAGCTCCCACGCATCACCTCGCTGACACTGGGCAGAGTTAGCTCTGTCTGTGTTCTCAGGCGCATTGCTCCCTCGGGTACCCTGGGTTATCCTGGCTTGGGCTGCATTCGATCTGTTTTCAGGTCTGTCTCTCCCAGAAACTCACAGATGTAAGAACCCAGCCCAAGTGATAGAAAGGGGTGTCACCTGGGCCCTCCAAGCTATCTCCTCGTGTTTCTGTCCCCCGGGGCCTCCTGCTCCACTCCTCCACTCTTGCTGCTGCCTCTCCCAGGGACGCCCTCGGCTCCAATGCTCCTGGAGGCTGGGGACTGAGCACTTTTTCGAGCAGCCCCACCCGGGGCATACGGCCAGAGCATGAGTGAGGGAGGCAGTAATTGGGGGAGGGGGGAGGGGAGAAAAGGATGGGGAAGGGGAGAAAAGATGGGGGAGAAAGCAGGCTGTTGAAGTGCAGGATTGTCTACAAATGAGAGGGCAATGCTCTGGGTAGTACGAAGTGAACTGAAGGCAGGCTGAATAAAGACCCCGTTTCTACATCCGGGTTCCAAATGGTGTAGGTCCCTGGGCGGGCTGTCTACTTGGTGTGGATTTTGAACAGCGGCCTATCTCTCCTCTTGCTCTGAATGTCACCTGCTGTCACTCAGAGGGACAAGCAACTGGAACCCATGACTCTGCTCCTGGGACTTCTGTGCGGGGATAGGGGATGGGGAGGATAGCAGGCAGGACTGGGTTGATGGGCCTGTGGCCCACTAATCATCCAGCATTTACTGGGCACCCACCAGTAGCCAAACACTAAGCTACAAAGGCGGACAATAAACTCTGACCTTGAGCCCCCCAGCAGGGCTGTAAGACCTCCCCGGGGCCCAGTGGGCTTTGGGGCCGTGTGGGGGAGGGGTTCAGCAGGGCTGTGGGGCCTCCCAGGGGCTCAGCAGGGGTGTCCTCCCATGATCCTGAGGACACTGTGGGCTCCAGTAGAAGCACAGCACTCCGGATGGCTTCCCCACACTGTCCCCAGAGTTTCCCTTCACCTTGGGGCATTCCCTTTGACCCTACTGGTGCCAGGACTGGATGGACCCAAAGACATTTACTTTACTCAGGTTTCTTTAGAAAGCCAAGAGAGGCTTGCATTTTCTAAAGGAAGTTTATTCCTATTGAAAGGGACACACGAGAAAACGCAGCTGCTCTCAGCCAACAGCTCGGACCCGGGCCCGGGCGGGATTGGGCAGCTGTGCAGCCAGCCCTCTATCTGCAGGAGAGCTCCTGCCATCAGACTCCTCCTGCTCTCCGGGAGGCATCAGGAACACACGTCTCAGAAAGGCCAAGACTGCTCCTCTCCCTGCCACCCACCTGGCTCCTGCAGGCGTCCCCTGTCCGGTTGGTGGTGGCAGTCTCTGCGGACAACAGTCCAGGAGTGACCTTGTCCCTCCGAGCCAGGCCTGTGCACAGCCGCAGACTCCAGCCCCTCACTCCAGCGGGACCTCCAGGGAGCCTGCGCCTGCAGCTTCTACCTCCTGGGGGCCTCCTGGGCGCGGGCAGGGGGCTGGCTGGAGCTCTCATCGCTCCCGGGGCCCTGGGAGCCCCGGCCGAGGCCCAGCAGGGCCCGGCACTGGCGGAAGAAGCTGGGGCTGGAGAAGCAGTAGAGCGCGGGGTCCAGCACGCTGTTGAGGTAGGTGAAGGCCAGCGAGCCGTGGAAGAGCTGCGAGCAGACGTCCAGGACGCGGCAGGCGCGCAGGCGGAGGGCCACGAGGGACGCGGCGCCGAAGAGCACGCTGGGCAGGAAGCAGGCGGTGTAGACGGCCACCACGGCGGCCAGCACCCGCAGCGCCCGCCGCGGGCCTGCCCGGCCGCCCAGGCCCCGGCGCCGCCGCCGGAGGGTCCGCCAGATGCTCGTGATGGCGAAGAGGATGAGCGCCAGGGTCAGGAAGAACTCCGAGAAGTACAGCGCCTGGTGCCAGCGCTGCCAGGCCCCGGGGTTCGCGGCCAGCTGGTAGCTGATGCAGGACCCCGCGGGAGGGGTGGCCAGGAGCAGGTGCCCGTGCAGCAGCAGGATGGCCGCCCAGATCCCCCCGGCCACCCCGGCGGCCGCGCGCCCCGAGGCCCGGCTGAGCGCGCGGTGCGGCCACACCACCTTCAGGTAGCGGAGCAGCGCGATGGCCGCGAGGAAGGCGGCGCTGGCCGAGCGGTTGGCGGCCACCAGGAACAGGCTGGCCCTGCAGGCGGCCGCCCCGAAGCGCCAGGCCTCGCCGTGCAGGTAGTAGTCCACGCGCAGGGGCAGGCTGGCCACCAGCAGGAAGTCCGCCGCCACCAGGCTCGCCAGGAGCACCACCGTGGCGGTCCAGGGCCGCGTGCGCGCGCAGAAGACGAAGAGGGCCAGGCTGTTGCCCAGCAGGCCCAGCACGAACTCCGCGCCCAGCACTGGCGCCAGGACCGCGGCCACCCGTGGGGAGGAGGAGGCCGGGAGGCAGCGGGGAAGGGGAGAGCTCAGGTTATGGGATTCCATGGGCTGCTGCCTGGGCCGCGGAGCTGGAGAGAAGGGTGCCCTCTGTCCGCTTCTAGGAGGGCGCGGGGATGAGTGCTCCCCATCAGCTGCCGCCGCAATGAGTCAGGATGCTGGGGTTTTCATCGGTATCCTTGAAGAAGCCACGGAGAAACACCCAGGGTTCCTGTTTGATAGCAAAGAGGAACCCCAAGGCACGCCTTTCCTTCCCTTCTCTTCCTTTCCCTTCCCACACTGGCTGATGCCCCGCCCCGGGTCTCTGAACCCGCCTGGAGGAGGCATCGGTGCTGCCCCTGGCAGAGGAGGAAGCAAGGCTCAGCAGGGGGGAGACCCTGAAGTGGGAGGAAGTCCCACCTGGTGGGCAGAGTGTATGTGGCTCTGCGTGGTCAGACACCTGCTTGCTGAAGGCAGAAGCTGGTCCTGGAAACCCATAGCTCCCAGGATCATGCAGACCACCCTGGACAACTATCCCTACCGTCTATCATAATTACAGGCTGGGCAGCCATCTCCCTGCCCCCACAGCTCCGGTGGGAGGGACTACAGGCCCGACAGGATGTTGTGCAGAGAGAGGGAGGCTGGGCATCCATACACCTATCGTTGCATGGCCTGTGGGAACCAGCCCGCTTATGCCCTGCCAGCTGCTGGTGTTACTTCCAGATTCCTGATGATTCCAAAGCCTATGATGGTCCCACGTCCTAGTACACGATGAAGCACATCCCACAGGCAGAAGGCCTCCTGTTGTGATCTGAGGACGTGGGGGTTTCTCCCCTGAAAACAGAACAATCCTGGCAATACTGGAGTTTCCCTGTCCACTGTCCACTCCACTCCGCCTCCACCCAGCATGCGCAGAAGAGGGGGGAGTGGGAGGCTGGGGCTGGCTTTGGACCAGGTGCAGGTCCTGCTATCCCACGGTGAGGCGTTCTCATGAGCCCATGTGGCCAGGCCCAAGGGCAGAGACGAGAGTCTAGGGCGCCTGATGGCCTGGGACAGCACCACGGGAGGCTGTGGTTCCGGGTTCCAGGCCCTGACACCCACCCTTGCCAACTGACCGTGGTCCGCAGTGTGCCATGTGCTGCCAACCCTGCCTAGGCCTCTGGGTTTTAGGCATCGTGGCCCCTGGCTCCTCTCCCACGGATCCCCCCCCCCGAACTGGACGTCCGTCTGGCCAAGGCCAAGGGCAGTCAGGCTGCGTCCAACTGCAGGCTGCAGGGTGGTGAGACCACCAGCCTGAATGCTGAATGCAGACAGGCCTTGGTCCGAAAGAGAGCTCCCTGCTTTCTAAACCTCTGAGCCGCATCTCCAAAGCTTCCTGTAGAGTTGTGAGGATGAAACAAGGCAATGTATGTAAAAACTTCTAGGGAATACGCTGGCACACAGCTGGAGTTCAGAAAAAAGCAGAACATCGAATGTTCATTATTTTCTGTTTTGGATTAGGCCCTAGGGAGGGCGCCCTCCGCTCCTGGCCACCTCTCCTTACCTCCCAGAGTCTCCCTGGGACATTCCTGTGTTTCGCTGGCTCCCGCACGGAGCCACACATGGCTGCAGCCCTGGCACGTGCCAGGCCTCTGCCCTCACTGCCCTGGACTGTTTGCAAGTTTCGGGCAGCCTGGGGGTGTTTTTCCTTCGCTTCCAGGAGAAGAAAGCCCTTGGGAACAGAGAGGTGGGCAAAGGTCCTTCCATCCCTCAGGGCCAGAAGCTCCTCCTGCGAAGCCAGGCTTGTCTCTGCTCTTCAGCGGAGCAAACCAAAGCAGCGAGCCGCCAGGCTGGCCTGGGGAAGGCGGGGCTCAGACTCCCGGTGTTACACAGGGAGCTGTGACTCTGAGCGGGGACATGTTCTGTCCAGCGCCACCTTCTCTTACCCCCACCTGAGACCCCTCATCCACTTCTCCTTGAAGCCCCAGGAAGACTAGATCTCCCACTACAGGCTTCATGTTTCATTCCTACCCACGGCTGCTCCTGGGGCGCCCAGCACCCCCCCCCCCCCCCCCCCCCCCCCCCCGGCGCCCGGGGCCTTGTCTGTGGTTAGGGCGCCTGTGAACAGCAGGGGGAGCCGGGGAGGGCTGCCACGCTCCTCTTAGAGCTTCCTGCCCTCTGTGGGCTCATCATGGACTGCATGTATGAAGACTGGGTAGCTCGGGGGTGGAATTTTACGTGTTTCTACATGTTCTACAGCTGGCAGAAATCACTCCTGTTATGGGGAGGGAACACCTAACAGATGCTATTTTTAAAATGATGTTTTTTTTAAAAAAAAAAATACGTGGGAAAGAGGCAAAGAGACAATATCCGCTGTCCCCCAGGACAAACCCCCGGCCCGTGTGGACCAGGCCGCAGGCACACCGTGATGAGAGCCCCTCTACAAGCAGGGGCGCCCCCTAATGGACCCGCCACGCGTCCACAGTCACCCGGGGCCTGGACACTGCAGACAGCACAGTCACGTGAGCACGTGGGGTCAGCCGTTGAGCATAGCCTGTGTCCCTGCAGACCCACGGGCGCTCATCCACCAGGAAGCCTTTTTTTTTTTTTTTTTAATATATTTTATTGATTTTTTACAGAGAGGAAGGGAGAGAGATAGAGAATTAGAAACATCGATGAGAGAGAAACATCGATCAGCCGCCTCCTGCACACCCCCTACTGGGGATATGCCCGCAACCAAGACACATGCCCTTGACCAGAATCAAACTCCGGGACCTTTGAGTCTGCAGGCCGACGCTCTATCCACCGAGCCAAACCGGTTTCGGCCACCAGGAAGCCTTTATTGAGGGCCTTCTGGGCGGCAGACAAGTACTGAGCTGAGGCCGTGAGGACAGAGAGTCGTAGAGGCAGCCTGGACCCAGGGACAGACTGCCTGGCTGAGCTGTGTGGGGCAGGGGCTGAGGGCTGCAGAGGAGAAGGGGAGAGTCTGGGACGAGAGGAGGAGGACGGGAGGAGGATGGCCGACAGTGATGTCCAGGGCCCGGCCCGGGGAGGGGGCGCTGAGGCCCTCAGCAGCAGTAGATGGAGAAGCAGTGGGGGCTGGGGAAGCGGTCATTTCGGCCGGGGTGGCGCTGAGCACACTCAGCAGGACCGTCACCCCAGGGGCTTCTTGCGGGCGGGGTCTTGCATCACAGCCAAGGCCACAGAGCCTTGCCTTCGCTCCCAGGAGTACCTGTGGAGACACGGGTGGGCAGAGGTGAGGCAAGGCTGGGCCCTGCGGATCCCAGGGGAGGAGGGAGGCCCACAGCCCGGGAAAGGCCTCCCGCGGACTCACTCAGTCCTGGCAGGCACCAGGAGGCTGTCATCGGGGGTCAGGCTCAGGGGCTGCCCCCCCATGGTCACCACCGAGGAGCCCTCCTGGGGGAGAAGAGCAGGAGGGTCAGATGGAGGCTACCCGGCCTCCACAGCTGTCCGAGGGTCCTGAGTCGGCGTTGGCAAGGGGGCCCTGGGAGCACCAGGCCCAGGGGCAGCCCGGTCCCCGAGGGCAGGAGGTGGTGCCACCCCCTCCGGCGGGCCCCACTTGCCAGCTGCCACAGCCACATGTCCACGTCCTGCCTCGAGCCTTTGCTGCCGCCGTGTCCGTGGACGATCACCTGTGGGAAGGGACACAGATCTTTTTTGGTGCTTCCTGCCCCCTGAAACCCGGCCCCCAGACACCAGGCCTGTGTGGGCCAGGGGCGGGGCCTGCAAAGCAGCCTCCTCTCCCTGTGTCAGTGGTCGGCAAACTCATTAGTCAACAGAGCGGCAAACCGCGGCTGGAGAGCACGACTGCCCTCTGTGATGCAAAGGCCAGGGCTTGGGGAGAAGGCTGCCCAGGCTGCAGGCCCCCCTGCTGCCTCCATCATGATGGGAGCTGCCCACCTGCCATTCCGGATCATGCATGTCTGCCCTCCATACACACATGCACATCCGGTCCCTCTGTAACACGTCACAGCTATTATTGCTGGCGCACGGGAATACCCGCAGGGGTACACACATGTGCACGGCCCGGTGCAGACCCTGTAGCTCCCACACACACAGTTCCCCAAAGGGCGCCCACCTCCCCTTACTCTGGAATGCTGGCCTACGGAGCAGGAGGGAGAGGGGAGGGCGTGAGCGAGAGGGAGGCTGGAGCTCTGTGCTCTCCATCAGCCTGGGAGCCTGCAGCTAATGTGCTGGCTGTGCCCCTGCGGGCCCGGAGGGGACTCGGTGGGCATGTGTTGGGATGAGCCGAAGCAGGTGGGAGTAGGGATGAGGAAGGCGGAAGGTGAGGCCATGGGCCAGCTCAGCGCTGAGTGATGCTCCCACAGCCCTGCTACACTAAGGCAGGTCTGCATCCAGCGAGCATCTCTCGGGTGGTGGGGGTGGATGAGTGCTCTAACTCAGACTGCAAGGATGCGCCAGTAGACATTGTAAAGCACAAACGAGCACAAGCCTTCCGGCAGGTCTCCTGGCCTCCACACTCGCCCTCCTGATCCCGCCCACACGGGGTGCAGCGGTCTTTCTAAAGCCGCCCTCTGCCTCATCATCCCCCGCCTTCAATGCGTGGGCGAAGCTCTGTTGTCTCCAGGATAAGTCCCGCCAGGTCCCGGGCACTGCCTGCTGCTCTGACCATCTAGTATCATGCCTGTGGCCCCCACTGCCCTGCCCTGGCTTTGTTGGGGTCTCGGTGTACCTTTCCACCCGACCCTCACCTCCAAATATGTTTCTCCCTTCCAGCTCCCAAGGCTGTGCCTGGCCAAAGGCTCAGGAATTCCTAGCAGGGGTGGAACCCCAGACCCCACAAACCTATCGCTGGATGAGGCCACACCCCACTCGGAAGGCAAAGAAAGGTTGCTTGGGGCCACATAGCCTCCGCAGGCCTCTACTCAGAGCAAAACCATCATTTTTGGAGCCAGGGAAGAAGCAGGAAGGCCATTGCCCATGTCTATAACCTCCAAAATGTGGTGTGTGTGTGTGAGTGTGTGTGTGTGTGTATGTGTGTGTGTGTGAGTGTGTGTTTCCCATTTCCCAGGCTGCCTTACCTGGGTCTCATAGGTGTCCCCAAACAGGCTGAGGGACGCGCCCCCCTGTAGCTCCTTGCGGTGGCCAGCCAGCCAGGCCTCCAAGGACATGGGCTCCATGACGGATCGTGTGCTCAGGGGGAACGGCGTGTCCATGAGCAGCTGGTCTGCACCCACACACAGCCCCGCTGTGGTCAGTGTCCTCTGGCCCAGCCCTCCCAGCCCAGCCCAGCAGACCCAGTTCCCAGGGGCCCCACTCTCAACTGCAGGAAAGGGCCCAAGGATCCAGCAGCCGAGTAGGGGGATACCATTTGGTGCCATCTTCCTGATTGAGTGCTGGGCAGAGGACTCAAAAGGGGACTCCCTAGCACCATGGGCTGCACCCCATCCTGCTCTGGGAAAGGAGGGAGGGAGGGGAGAGGAGGGCAGTTCCTGTGGCCTCACCAGGGATGGGCTTTCCTGTCCTGTGCTGCTCAGAGCTGAAGAACCTGCAGGGACAGAGGGGAGGGGAGAGAGGGACCAGCTTTCCCCACTGAGAGGTCAGTGACACACACACACACACACACACACACACACACACATACATGTGGGGCCCTCATATGACTCATATCCACCACCCGCTCCCTCCCAGGCCCATGGGGCAGCCTCCTTTTCTCCCCGGGAGAGGTAACATTCTCCCTAAATCTGACCGCCCCAGCCTGGCAGGTGCTCCGTGGAGCACTTCTCGGAGGGGCTGCTCCCCCAGCCAGAGCACGGGCCTCGGGGCCTCAGGAGAATGAGGGACGGGGCAGGGCGGGGCCTCACTCCTGGATGATGGGGGCCAGCTGTGTGCCGAGGTCCTCGCAGTAGAACCACTTCTCAAACAGGACGTCCGTGGTGTTTCCGATGTAGTACCTGCCGGAGCAAAGGGTGGGCAGCCAGTGTCCCCTCTGGGCAGCCTCAGGGTCGCCTCCCCCGGGCCCAGCTCTGCATGCTGACTTCTGGGTCTGCCTGGCTCTGCGTCATTCACCCTGTCAGTGCAACCCCGTGGCCACAGCCGGCTCTCCCAGCAGCAGTGTGCACCCCCAAAGCAAGGGGGCTGTGATCCGCCCCATTCACACAGCTCTTCCTGGTTCCCCATACTGGGGGAGCTACAAAGTGGACAGGACTCTGAGGCTCAGAGAAGCTGGCAGTCTGGCAGGGATCTCGCAGCCTGTAAGTGGCAGAAGCAGGACAGACCAGAGACAGATGTCGAAGCACAGAGAGCGTCAATGATGAGTGTCTTCATTTTCCCAAAGCAGAAGCGGAGGCGGAGCCGGAGCCCGGGGCCTATGCTGGATGCTCCGCCTGCCTGATGGCGCTTTAGGTCAGAGCTCATGGGACCTTAGGGAGCCAGCATGTGGAAGATGCCCCCCCGGACGGAGATCCTTCTCCTTTTAGGGATGCCTTTGAGCGTTGGAGCAAAGGGCTGGGCCTCTTCCTGGGAGGAAGGTCTGTATGCATGTGCACGTAGCCTCGTGTGGGCCCCCCCGAGGCCCACCCAAGCCCCCAGCCCGGCCTGGGAGTTGGCGTGAGAAGCACCTGGCAGACAGGCCCGTGCCTCAGGGCCTGTGTGTACCGCACCTCTGGTGACTGGATGCCTAACCCCCAGGCTCAGCTCCCAGGGCCGGGCCAGCTCTGCCTGCTCTTCCCCCCAAGGGAAGTGGTCCTGCCTACAGACACACAGTGACACCCCTCCCTATATCCCCCCCCCACTCCCGACCCGGCACCCCAAGTTCCATCCTGGGATGGAGCTGGCCACCCCAAAGCTTCATCACTGGACTGTGATGTCATCCAGAAATTGCCCTCAGACTGGAATTTTAATGCGGAGTCCCTGGCTTTTATGAAAGGTCAGAGCAGCCAGATGAAATCTGTTATTGAATTTGCTGTAAAAACGTTATTGAGGAAACCGTCCTCTCCATCGCTAAAGACTCCCCAGATCGAGCCCCGAGGGGAAAATTTCTTTCAGAGCCTAAGGCCAGGCATCTGCATCTCCTGCAGACTGTTAATCTGCCGCAGATCAGCGTGCAGCCATTAGCGTGGTGCGTTTGACAAAGAATTTAAAAGTATAAGAAAATACTCAGGAGATTTGGAATAAGAAGCAAAATTCCAACCCGTGCTCCCAATGAGACTGCGATGTTGGGAGGTGCAGATACGCAGAGAAGAAAAAGTTAAGATGGAAATTTAAGCACGTTATTAGGTTTGAAGGGTGAGATGACAATTTTTGTGTGTGTTCTCTTTATTATTGTTGTTTGTTGTTTGTTTGTTTGTTTGTTTGTTTGTTTGTTTGTTTCGAGATCTCATTCACATACCGTAGCATTTACCCTGTCCCTGACAGGTCATCTTAATTTTGTTCATGATTTCGTGTTCTTTTCCTGATTCCAAGGATGAATGAGTATGATTTGGAAAATTAGGGGGGAAAAAAGAGAAAAAAGGGGGGAGCATTTAAAAAAATGTCCACTATGGCCTAGCCGGTTTGGCTGGAGGACTGAAGGGTTTTGGGGTCGATTTCGGTCAAAGGCACGTTCCTCGGTTGCAGGCTCAGTCTCCAGCCCCGGTTGGGGTGCTGTGGAAGGCAACAAATCGATATGTCTCTCTCACACTATCTTTCCCTCCCTCTCCGTTCCACGCTCACTAAAAAATCAATGAGGAAAAAATGTCCTCAGGTGAGGATTAGCAAAAACAAAAAAATTGCATTGTGGCAGATGTTAGTAACTTGCTGGGAAGTTAAAACTTTCTTAGCTAAAACATACAAAACGTAAGTTTAGCTTTTGTAAAAAATCTGTGTCCTCCCCTCCACTCCCACCCCTAAATCTGTGTCCCATGAGCCGCAGGCTGCGCCCTCCTTTCGGAGAATAATGACTGGGTGACTGTCGGAACCAAACTGGAACTCAGCTCTTGGAACAGTGCCCATCTCTGCATCGAGCTGGTCCCCTCTCCGGCAATGACTCTCACCCCTATCCCGACTGTCCTGGCCCTGACTTTCTATTCATCATGCCAGCTCTGCCATCTTCCAGGAAACTCAACTTCCCGGGCCCCGTCTCAGCACCTGTAACGTACAGCTGGCCATGGCACCCGCCCCAGATGATCATGGTGAGAGCGAAATGAATACACGTAAAGCGCTTGGGCAGGCGCCCGGCCTTGGCAAGTGTTATACAAATGTCAGTGCTGGTTGTGGAGTGAGTCAGGGCAGAGGGACTGGCAGAGGAAGGTGCTGGCAGGTAACTCTGGGGACAGAGGCTGGGGGAAGCAGCAGTATTCAGAGCTTCTCCGGGCGGGGTGGGACAGACTTTGGCAACCACCCCACCCCAAATAGACAGCACAGGCTCTGGTCCCAGCCAGAGGTCTGGGCTGCCTGGGCAACCAGAGGGTCAGAGAGAACACCCTACCAGCTCCATCATCAAACCACCCACCACCTACCCTAACCTCTGCCCGCCAACCAGCAAATACAGGGTCCCCACTGCCTCCTCATTCCTGCTCAATGGCCAGGAAGAGCTTTCGTGATCTATCCGATCCTTTCCCAGCTGCTTGCCTACCCGTCCCGCCCCATATCTGCCTCAGACCCCCGTTTACCTGAGCCCATCCAGCTCAGTTTTCAGCCGCCTCCGCTCAATCACCAGCCCCACCGTGTTGGCAAACCTCTGTGGAGAGTGGGGGATCCCAGCGGGCAGGAGGAATATCTGCAGGGGTGAGTGGGGACGAGGTGTCAGTCAGGCTGCAATCCCCCCACGGGGACCTCAGTGCCTGCAGCATCTGAGGCTCCCAGTGACCCACAGGGCCCGGCCCATCCCACAATGAATGAGCTGAGCTGGGGATAGGGCAGCCCGGAGAGGAAGTGCCCGAGGATGGGGTCGGGGCAGGCCCAGCGGGCAGGCGGGCAGGAGGACAAGACCTTGGCCAAAGCCAGAATGAGTGGACCCCATAGGTTCCTGATCCGGCGACCCTTCACCTCCCAGCTCCCCCGAGCTCCCCTCACCTCTCCCTGCTGGATGACCACATCCCGGTGTTTCCCTCGCTCCAGGACTTGGAGAACCATGTCGCCCTGCAGCTGGTAGAACACCTGAGGGACAGGACAGCACGCAGGCTCAGACCCGCCCCCTCACTTCCCCCAGCGACTTCTCACTGGGAACCCTCAGAAAGCTCCTGAAGGCCTTGGAGTGTATGAGCAGCTCTGTCCCTGCTGCCCAGAGGCCCCAGTCTCCCCTGACAAAGGCCACAGGCAGCGCTAGAGCCACAGGGATCACATCTTGACATGTGAGCGATGACCAAAGTACCCAGGACACAACAGCTGGGGTGTGGCTTGGGGTAAGAGGCTGGTTGAGATGCTCGCTGGAGAATTCAATGACCCCTCAGCCAGGTAAGGGGGATCACCTGGCTGGGTCCCAGGGGCTGTGCAAGCACTTTCCTGTCTGTGATCAGACATCTCTACAACCTCCAAAGCTGTTATTAGCCCCATTGCACAGAAAAGGGAAAAGAAGACTGAGGCTCAGAGAGGAAAGCAACTTGTCCAAGAGTTACTCCTGGAGCCACAGTTGGGAGCCGAGCCTGCATATACTAGTAGTTCTGGAGCCCGAGCTGGCTCCTCTGGCCACCGTGATGCCCTGACACGGGGCAGGGCTGTGCCTGTCCCGATCCCTCAGAAGCTGGCTGCGTAATCGGGGGACTCAGTGATGCTGGAAGCGGGGGTGGGTTGAAAGTTGTGGGGGATGGGAGTACTCACCTCCTGCTAGCTCCAGAGATGGAGCTAGGGGGCTCCTACTGCATATTCCCAATGCTAGCCTAAGTCCCTACTTAATGTGTTTACTGAGATCACCCCATGGCGCTGGGAGGAGGAGGCAGACACATGTTCTCTCTACCAGTCACACATTGGGGGGTGTTAAAGGCCCCTGTCAAATAGGTTAGGGGTATTAATAATAAGGATGATGATGATGATGTAAGGAGTTAGAGGGGATAGAGGTCCTTGTCACAGCATCTACTAAGAGAAATCAGCCTTAGCTGGTTTGGCTCAGTGGTTAGAGTTTCAGCCCAAGGCCTGAAGGCTCATGGGTTCGATTCGGTTAAGGGCTCAGATCTCAGTTGCAGGCTTGATCCCCAGTCCCGGGTTGGGTTGAATGTGGAAGGCAACCAATCGATGTGTCTCTCTCACATTGATGTTTTTCTCTCTCTATCTCTTCTCCTTCCGTTTACTCTCTCTAAAATCAATGGGAAAAATATCCTCGGGTGAGGATTAACGAGAGAGAGAGAGAGAGAGAGAGAGAGAGAGAGAGAGAGAGAAAGAGAGAGTGGGGGACCAGGCTGAACTCAGGGAAACTAGAGGAATTAGAGGAATGTGGCTTTGCAGTCTGCCACAAGGACTAGTTGCCACACCCCTCTGAAGGACATTTGGCAGCGGGCAGGAAGAGCCTTCTCAGCTCACACCCCTGTAGGATGGCCAGAGGGGTTTCTTAGGATGTAGGACTTTCAGGATAAACCAGGACAGGGGTCGCCTCTTGAGCGAGTAGCTGCATCTGTAGGCAGGTGGCAGCAGTTGTCAGTAATGCACCTTGTTCATGCTGGGCATACATGGCTGCGTCATCACAGCACATGGCAGTGAAAAGCATGGATTCCATCGTCACCTGGCCCTCACTCAGCCAGGTCACCATGGGCCCTTGGTCAGCTCAGTTAGCCTTCCTGTGCCTCTGTTTTCTTGTCTATAAAATGGCAGTATCCACCCAGAATGCTGCTGCCTGGGACGCTGCACACAAACCACGGACTCGGCACTCACAGACCTCCAGCCATGGCGGGGACAGCAAAACAAGTTAACAGTAGTAACAGGGGAAATGTCACTATTTTATACAGAGTCAAAATGTGGACATTATGCAGCCATTAGGAACTATTTTTGACCCTAACCTGTTTGGCTCAATAGATAGAGCGTCGACCTGGGGACTGAAGGGTCCCCGGGTTCGATATCGGTCAAGGGCATGTATCTTGGTTGTGAGCACATCTCCAGTAGGAGGTGTGCAGGAGGCAGCTGATCGATGTTTCTCATCAATGTTTCTGACTCTCTATCCCTCTCCCTTCCTCTCTGTAAATAAATAAATAAATAAATAAATAAATAAATAAATAAATAAAATGTATTTTTAAAACACACACACACACACACACACACACACAAAAAAAAAAAAAAAAAAAAAAAACCCACAAAAAAACCAAAACAAAACAAAAAAAACCTGGCCAATGTGGCTCAGTTGGTTGGAGCATCCTTCCATACACCAAAATGTGGCGGGTTCAATTCCTGGTCAGGTTGTGGGTTAGATCCCCTGTCAGGGAGTGTATGGGAGGCAATCAATTGATCTTTCTCTTTCTTTCTCTCTCTCCCTTCCTCTTTCTAAAACAAAAATCAGCAAACATTTTTTAAAAACACAAACAACTATTTTTGAATAACTACTAGTAAGGCGGAAAATGGAAAATGCTAAAGTTATCATGTTAAAGCAAGGTTCAGAATTACACCCAGCGGGAACCTAATGATGTGACCAGACCTGTGTGAATGCAGGCGGTGCAGCCAGTGGTGGGATGCCCTGAGTGGTGGGAATATGAATGAGGCATACATTTCCCTCCCAAATCTCACGTTTTTTTTTTTGTTTTTTTTTTTTTGTTGTTGTTGTTGTTTTGTGGGGGTTTTTTTTGTTTTGTTTTTTTTTTACAATAAGCAATATTAAAAATAACCAATGCAAGTTATTTAAGACAAATAAGAAAAAGCTTCCCAAGGCCTCTTAGGGGGAAATTCTCCAACTCCCCCTCATCCTACCCCCCAGCTGGGAGGAAGTGTGTGTGTGTGTGTGTGTGTGTGTGTGTGTGTAAGGGGGTCCTTCCATGGTAGGGAGGAGGAAGGAGGGGCCCAGAGAGTGGCCATAGCCCTGAGGCCCTGCGAACATCAGGGACAGCTGGAGTGGGTAAGGGGTCTGGTCTGGGCCACGTGCAGACCCAGTGCAGGCAGGTGAGAGGTATCAGCAGCCATCAGACCAAAACCCAGAAAGGAAGTGGAATTTTCCTCCGCCTTGTCTCGCTGCCCAGAAGCCGCCGTGTGATGAGGGACAGGCCTGGCCTGGGGCAGAGGTGCAGATCCAGAGCAGCAGAAAATCCCACGCAGCCCTGGGCGACGCAAAAGGAATTATGCTCCATTGGAAGTAAATGATGTTCGGGGCCTGGCGCTGGCGGGAGGATTAACGGTCCCCGTGGGCAGAGACTGAATTGAGTCAGACCTCTGGTGCCTGGAAAGGCCTGGCGGGCAGAGCAGGCAGGGGAGCGGCCGAGGGTGCAGAGAACAGATGCATCTTAAGCACCGCCAGTGCCGGGCTCTGTGCACACCCTCCATAGACACTGCCTCCCTCCACCGGGCAGGGCAGCGTCCCCAGGAGCCGCAAGGAAGCAGGCTCAGAGAGGGGTGTGATGGGGCCTGTCCAAGAGCACATGGTTAGGGGGACTCAGAGTCCCACCCGGGCTGGCTTATTCCCAGCCCCTTGGCCCCTGGGCCGGAAGAGAGGGCCTGGGCTCTGGAATATGTGCGGTGGGTGAGCCTGGGCCCCTGAGGGGCTGCTGCTGGGGCCTGAGCTCAGTAAAGAGGCGAGTTTGGCTCAGTGACTCCCCTTCTCTCACCAGGAAGGAGTCTGGACCCTACATCAGGTTGTCGTAAGCCCAGAGTGAGGACACCTGCTCACCCCATCGGCCAGTCTGCCAGCTAAGTGGGGTCTTGGCCTGGCCCCTAAGTATACACCCATCCATCAGAGCAGCTCAGGTAGCCCCCGAGGCGGGGTGTGGTGCAGAGGTGATCGGGGACAACAAGGGAGGGAGACAGAGAGCTGGGCACTGACAGCAGGGTTAACAGAGTGGAAGCCTCTGGAAGCCAAGACTGGTGTGTGTATGTGGGGGGGGGGGGGTGTGTGGGGGAGGAGCTGAAGCGGGCAGGAAAGACCTTGGCCACCATGGCCACTCCCACCCAATCCTGTCTTCTCTCTGCAGTGTTGGGCTTTCCTGCTGGTTGTTTTTTGTTTGTTTGTTTGTTTGTTTGTTTGTTTTTGTACAGAAGAAAATGGTCTTCGGTGAGGTGGGTTGTGAGAAGCTGTGACTGGGGGGAGGTGCAGGACCTGGAAGTGTGAGAGGTGAGGGGGCTGGTCAGCTCTGCCTGCGGGATCCTCACATTTGGTGCTCAGCAAATATTTGCCCAGTGAGCAATTCCTCTGTGTTCCCTCCGTCGGAGCTGGGGCAGAGCTGCCAGCAGGGGGAGGGAGAAGGCTGGAGACTAAGCTGGACTCTGGATCTTGAACCCCAGGGCCAGGACCCCAAAAGGATAGGTAAGGGAGCCCCCTAGTGATCCTTGGCCAGCAGAGTTTCTGATAACTGGGGTCCCATCTGGGTCCTTCCTTGAGAGGCCCCATCTTTTTCTCTTAATTTTTTTTTTACTGGTGTTTATTTACTTTGGGGAAGGTAGCACAGAAACAGTCCAAAATTCAAGGTACAAAAGGGTATTCAGGGAAAATTGCAAATCCTCTCTCCCCCTTTATCCCCCTCCCCCCCCTGCTTTTCTCCTACCAGCAACTGATGTAGGTCCTAGATTAGGAGGGGCCTCCCAGCCAACCCTTCCCAGAGAGCTTGGCTTCTGGGGCCAGAGGGGAGCGCCAGGTCCCTCTCAGCCTTGGAGTCTCATTTTGGAGGCTAATCTTGCACATTCAGGCTCAGAGGGAGGAGATCAGGGCATCCCATCAGCCCCTGTGTCCAGGGGGTGGCGCCAGCAGCTAGAGCCTCTCGTACCCGCAGAGGGTGGGCTCTTTCTGAGGATGGCGCTGCCCACACCTCCCAGGCAGCTGTATCGCACAGTGATTTCGTTTGAGCCCCTTCACCCTCAGCCATCTGACCACCCGTCTCCTGTCCATGGCTCTGGTCCTGGCGTGGGGAATGTCCCCTTGCCCCGGGGCAGGGGCAGGGGAGGGGCAGCCTGCAGACCTACCTCCTCACCCTCCTCGATGTGGTAGTCTTTCCTGATGTTAGGGCCGCCGATGAACATGACTTTGAGCTGCTCCTTATGCCTGCAGTGGAGGAGAAGGGAAAGGTGCTGAACCAGTTCATGGGAGAGGACAGGAGGGGCCTTGGAGGGTGGGGAGGGTAGGGGGACCTGGAGGGAGCCTGGCACACCTGGGAGAGGTAACAGGGCTGCTCTGCATCATTGTCTCTGTCAGTTTTTTTTATTTTAATTATTATTATTTTATTGATTTCAGAGAAGAATGGAGAGGGAGACAGAAACATCAATAATGAGAGAGAATCATTGATTGGCTGCTCCCTGCACACCCCCCACCAGGGATGGAGCCCGAAACCTGGGCACATGCCCTTGACAGGAACCCTTCACTCCACAGGCCAACACTCTTTCCACTGAGCCAAACCTGCGAGGAGTGTCCCTGTCAGATTTTCTACTCTCATCCCAGGGTGCCCGAGTGTGTCTGAGAATCTGCATGTATCTGAGACTGTGTATGTGTCTTGCTGTGTCTGTGGCTTGGTATATTAGCGTGTGGGGGCATGTCCCTCTGTGTGCATGTCCCCCCTCCCCCCCAATCCTCTGACCCAGTAGGGGGAGTGGTGTGGTGGTGGATCTCTCTCTTCTTCGATCAGGATGCCTGGGCTGTGCTCAAGATCTCTAAACTGCTGGGCTAAAGCTGCGAGGCACCTGCTTTAGGACGTGGAGGGGAACTGGTACAGGGGCCCTGAAATGAGGTCCTGGAGCCATGGGAGTGGTCTTGGATCAGGATGGGGCCAAGTCACTCTAGGCCTTGAGAACCCAGCCAAAGAGCTTGGTCTTGGCCTGAAGGGTGCCGGAGAGCCCAGGACTTTTTTTTTTCTTCTTTTTCTTTTTTAGTCATGTCTTCTAGAGATATAATCTAGGACAGCAATTTTCAATCTTTTTCATCTCATGGCACCAATAAATGAATTACTAAAATTCTGTGGCACACCAAAAAATATATATTTTTTGCTGATCTGACCAAAAAATAGGTATAATTTTGATTCATTCGCATCGGACGGCTATTGATGTTTGTCTTTCTTTATTTTATAATCTAAAGGAAAAGAGGTCAGTGCCCCTGACTACATAGTCAGGTACTGCATGTTTTAACAATTCTTGCATCACTCTGGCTGAAGATCGCTGATCGAGGTACATATGGAAAGTTCTTGAAGGATTCCACTCAAGAACTATTCTAGCTCATCGGTCAGAATGCTGAGCTCAGCGAGGAAGCCAAGATCATGTCCTTCCTCTGCTTACAACCTTCCAGCAGCTTCGTCTGCCCCGCCTCCCACCACCCCAAATTCATATGCTGGCATCCTCAGCCTCAGCTCCCCAGAAGGTGCCCCAAGTTGGAAACAGATCATTGCAGGTGGAGTTGGTTAAGCCAGGATGAGGTCATCCTGGATCAGGTGGACACCTACTCCTCTCCGCCGGGAGTCCTTACGGAAAGGGAGATTTCGACAGTCACACAGGAGAGCACCACGTGAAGGTGAGGGTAGAGAGGGGGGAAGCCGAAGAAGCCGAGTGCAAAGATCATCCCTCAACCGCCAGGAAGGAGCCAGAAGAGGCCCAGAGCAGAGTCTCCTCACAGCCCTAGCCTGCCCTGTGGCCCCAGCTCTGCCTGGGCCCCCACGCCCTCTGGTTTCTATTGAGTGGGGCCTCCTCAGTTCCCGGAGGAAGGGACTCTGGCCCCTTGGGTTCCTGCTGGGTCTCTAGTGTCCGGGACAGGGCCTGGCAGACAGCAGGTGCTCAGTGGACAGCTGCTGGGTGACGGAAGGCAGGGCCTGCGAGGTGTGATCACTGCTATTGGGGCGGTGCTGGAGGGCTGCGGGGGAGAGGGGTGCCTGGAGGGGGGTCAGCCCACACTCTCAGGCTGGAGGTGACAAAGCTGGGGGCCTGAGAGGAGACACCATTAGGGGCAGGTGGGTCTGAGGGGGGAAACTGCCGGAGTGAGAATGAGATGGCGTGGGGGAAGAGTGGGGCGATGAGGCTTTGTGTGTGGGGGTGCTGTTAGCCCTGGCAGCGCTGCGCAGTGACCACGAGTGTGCACTTTGGAGTCAAACTCTCCCATGGGCGTGAGCCAGGACCAGTCCCACACCAGCTCATGGCATTGGGAAAGTTCCCTATTAAACGCCCCCCCCCCCCGCCCCTGGGGCTACTGTGACAATGAAAGGAGATGGTGTTAGAGCACTGGGCACAGTCTCTGGCCTGTCACAGCGTCAGTGGTTGGAAGTGAGGTGTTGGAGGTGTTCCGTGGACACCCCAAGGATGGGATCGTGAGCCTGGAGCTGGGAGCTGGGAGCCCGGGGAGGGAAGGGCTTCGGGGGAGGGCCTGAGAGGTCTGCTGGGGAAGGACGGCTGGACCCTGGACCGGGATCGCCCCCTTGGGTGGCTAGGGAGGGCCTGGGGGAGTGTGTGTGTGAGAATGTATGTGTGTGTGTGAGTGAGAATGTATGTGTGTGTGTGTGAGTGAGAATGTATGTGTGTGTGTGTGAATGTATGTGTGTATGTGAGAATGTATGTGTGTGTGTGTGTGTGTGAGTGAGAATGTGTGTGTGTGTGTGAGTGAGAATGTATGTGTGTGTGAATGTATGTGTGTGTGTGAATGTATGTGTGTGTGTGAATGTATGTGTGTGTGTGTGTGAATGTGTGTGTGTGTGTGTGTGTGTGTGTGTGCGCGCGTGGGCTCCCGCCTGCCAGCAGAGGGGAACTGGGAAGAGCAGTAAATCACGATCCTCCCAGAGGGCTGATCCTCCCCCGTCTGCCTGTGGCTTCCTGATAGAGATGGGGTAAGACTGGGCTGTCCCGGGCCTGGGTTCTGCTGCCACTCTGGGGCCCAACTTCTGAGAGCCCCAGGGGGTTGGAGAGCTGTCTCCGGCCTGGAGGGGAAGGGCTGCCCCTGCCCTCTGCATCCCTCCTGGCCTCAGCTCGCCATCCTCAGACGGGGAGGCCACAATCTCCGCCCCGGAGTCCCCAGAAAGAGGAACAGACAGAGGTGATGGGACCCAGAACAGCCTGCCCCTCCTGCCCCTCCTACCCTGAAGACACCGTGAGGATGACAGCCCATTTCTATGCTCTGGGCCCAGAGCTGGAAGCTGGGGGTGAGGGTGAGGGAGAGGGTGCGGATGGAGGAGGAGGGGGTGAGGACAGAGGGGGGAAGGGGGGACGGGGTAAGGAGGGAAGAGAGGCTGCCTGGCACTCACAGAAGCTTGTTGCAGACGGGGGGCAGGAAGGAGGCTCGGTTCTCCTCCACCCAAGTCTGCACCCTCACCGGCCGCTCCATCATGCCTCTCTCCCGGGAGCGCTGCTCCCCGCCGCCACCGTGTCCTGCGGCTGCTGCCGTCGGAGGGGCGCGGTCTGCCCGGCCGCCTAGGGGCCGCCTGGTTAATCAGCACCCGGAGGGTCAAAGGGCGGGGCAACCCCCAGGGCACCCCGGTGGCCGTGGTGGGGACCTCGCGGTGGCCCCTGTCCACCTCTGGTCCCAGATCCCTCGCACCTCCAGGTCCCAGGTCCCTGCCAGGCACATCGGGGGTCACACCTGCGCGGGGACAGGCCAAGGCACAGACACACCCCCCCTCCCCCAGCCATCCTGGTCCCCTGTCCCCAGACTTTCCCCCTGCGCCCCAAAGGGATGCCGTGATGGATGGGGCGCAGGCGGCTGGCAAACCCCAGGTCTGAGTGCACGGGTGCAGGCACTGGGTGGAAGCCTCGGTTTCTCATCTGACACACGGGAAAGTCTGTCTCCCCGGCCTCCCCAGGGTTACAGGGCGGCCCCCTCCCTGCACCTCTTGGTCTGGTCACGAGGCCGGAGCCAGGCCAGAGTCCACGGGCTCAGAGTGCCGCTGGCGGGCCGCCCTCCTCCTCTGGCCGGTGGGGGGCCCCTGGCACCCCACGGCGGCGACTCCCTGGGCCCTTGTTTGAGGGCACGGTGCCTGTTCTGAATTCCTTCCATGTCTTATAGGACCCACGGGGATTCACTGAGGGGTTTTCTGGGTGAAGACCCGGGCCCTGGGGTCTGAGGCTTCAGGAACCTGGGTCCCGGGCTGGGGAGGGGGAATATCCTGTGCTAAGGTTGAGAGGTTCCCTAACTCAGTTCCCCTGGGGCCCAGGAGAGACCTGGCACCTGGTGTGAGGCCTGGAGGGAGGCGGAGGGGGAAGGGAAGAGAAGGGAGGGAGGAAAGAGGAGGGAGAGAAGGATAGCTGACCCCTGCTTTCTGCTCTTTCTTCTGGACTCTGAATTCGTAGGGAAATTGCTCACCTGTCAGAGGAGGGAGGGATGGGTGGGGGGAAGGGGAAAACTCAGGCTCTGTCACCAGAATCCAGACTAGAGTTCAAAAATTCGAAACTCCTCCAACTCCGCACCCTCCCCCGAGCCCCTCTTGTCCCCTCCCTTCCATCTGGGTTGGCCAGATGCAGAGACTGTCCCCACGCAAATCTAAACCCAGACAAGGAAACAAGATTCTCACTTACCTCTGCTGGGCAGGACCCTCCTGTTTCCTCTCCATGCCTCCTCCACCCCCACCCCCACCCCATTTCCCCTTTCTCTTTTTAGCCATTTATTTAGAACTTTTTTTAACTGAGCATTTCCTTCTAGAATACTGATGGGCACCCAAATAACGGAACCCATATTTACCTTTCTCATCGACAAGTCATCAGTGACAGTGAGACAGCAAGGGTCGAGGATAATTGTTAGTAGATTGGACGTTTGTTATATGGATGGATAGGGGTGGGGGTGGGTGGACAAAGGCATGAATGAACTCACATTACAAGGAAAAATGAATGATTTCTGTTACATAGTACAGAGGAAAGAATGACGGTTGTCCTGTGTGTTCATCTGCCTGGTCAAATAATGTGAATCATTGATGCTGCAAGTGAATGTTTGGGGTCTGAATTACCCAGGTGAATCCTAAACACAGGAGCCCCTGTCAAACGCCCTCTGGTTAGTGCTGAGTAAATGCATTACCAGGTCTGTTCAATTGGTCAGCCTTCCAACTTGGGTGTTGGGCACCATTTGACTGTATTCTAGAAATATTCTTCAACTTAATTGTCCAGTTCACTGTTTGTTTTAAATTGAGTTGATGTACTCTACAGTTCAGCTCATCTACTGAGTTCTTTTTTCTTTCTTCCTGTCTTTCTTTCTTTCTTTCTTTCTTTCTTTCTTTCTTTCTTTCTTTCTTTCTTTCTTTCTTTCTTTTTTAAGAGAAAGAGTGGAAGGGAGGGAGGGAGAGAAACATGGATCAGTTGCCTCCCTTATGGGCTCCAACTGGTGTTCGAACCCTCAACCTAGGTATGACTAAAAATCAAACCCGCAACCTTTTGGTGTCCTGGATGACACTCCAATCAACTGAACCACCCGGCCAGGGCCAAGGAAACTGTTCTAAACTATAAATGCTTATCAGTGAAGTATTAGCTGCTGTTACAGGAAACTATATTTCAATGCAAACTCAGTGATTTAGCACACGGAAGTTCACTTCTCATTTGACAGACGATGACATAGGATCTTGTCTCCTTCATCTTGTAACTCCCACCATCACCCTGGGCGCTGAAACCCAGCTGGCAGAAAGAGGAAGAGAGAGAGTTGAGGCACTTAAAAGATGCCAGACCCGACCAGAAGTGATGTGCCCACTTCCGTTCACTTTCCACTGCTGAATGAAGCTCAGTCAGTGGTCTCACCGAACCTCAAGGGAGTCTGGGAAAGGTTCTGGTTTATCTCTCTTCGATGATATTGGTTTCACTCAAATGTTTAATGATCCTTGCGCAAACTCATCTTTATAGTCGACATTCTTTGCACACTCCACTGAGGGGGACGAGGCAAGAGTTGCACTCCTGTTATTTTCACAGTTGGGGGAAGGCAAGACCTGCCACTGAGCAGGGTATCTCAGCAGCTGGTCTTCTTGGGCACTGCCAGTTTCTCCTGGGCGATCCTTGCCACCTCAGGACTACCTCATCTGTCTGCTCCAAACTCCCACATTCCTCCACAGCTGCCTGGGTTATGATGGGGGTGCTACCTGCTCCTGCCTCAGAGCCCCAAAAATGACCCTGGCAGTCGTCCCTGGATCTCCTCCCACATCTTTCCTCCCTTTGGGTCTGAAGCATCCTAAATGCTGCTCCCATAACTATGGAAAGACTCTCTTCTTGGCTCCTCTACACACTGTGGACTGAGATTTCCTTCTTCAGTCTAATGTTGCCTTCTTTTAACCACTCCTTGCAGGCTCAGTTCCAGGCCTGTTGAGACCTCCTCTTCCTGTGTTTCAGTGCATGTATTTATTTATTTTATACTTATATCTTGCATTTATTGGATTTGGTTAAAACAAAAACAAAACAAAACAAAAAAAAAAACAACAACGGTCAGACTGTTCCCCAAAGTGGCTGCACCATTTTATCTCCCCATCAGCAGTGTGTGAAGATCCTGGTTTCCCCACACCCTCACTCTGGTTTGCCATTGTCTGACTTCTTGGCTCCAGCGCTCCCATACTCACTTCTCTGGGAACTCAACAAGGCACTCTTGGCATTCAGACCTGTAGCTACTACTGCTACTTTTCTTAACCAGTTCCCTCTTTACGTGATCAAGGAGGAGCATTTTCTCCCTGGGATCAGTGTGGTGTGAGGAATCCAACTTGTAGGAAGCCACCCATTGTCTTCACTAACAGAGAAGTGTGGACAGAGATCCCGGAAGGCTGGTGACCTTTAAAGCTCAGGCAAAGGTCAGAGCTATGCACCCACTGTTTGGACAATGGTAGCTGAAGCAACTTCCCCACCAGACAGTCATGTAAATCCTTATTGATGCGATAGTCTGTGTGTTACTGGAAATTGCCTGCCTAAGGGGGCTATAGGTGGATCCCAAACCAGAATAAAAGGGATGACAAGGCCAGAGCAAAGCGGAGTTCTCCCTTGGGCTTCCGCCTGGCCCCCAATTCCCAAATGAGTATGTCTTGTCTTGTCTCTTTTATTTGCATGCAGCCTCGAACCCTGAACCTGAACCCTGGACCACGCGGGACATGGGTCACTCACACTAACTAACTACAACAACAGCAGCAGCAACACCCTCTCTGCTTAATACTTACGGAGTGATTACTACGTGGCAGACCCTGTGCTAACGCCATAGGTTCTCTCGTTGAATCCCACTTACAGATTAGAAAACTGACAATGAAGTTTAGGGCTGAGCTTGGCATATCTTGTAGTCCAGGTGTCATGGTGGAATTCATACCTGCTACCTACAGATGAAGAAGCTGAGAAATATCAGCCAACCCTACAGTTTAATAAAAAGATATAAAATACCAAAAAAAAAAAAAATAATGAGAGAAACTGAAAAAGCACACACCAACAAAACAATGGGCTAAAGATTGGAACAAATATTTCACAAAGATATACAAATAGTCGATGCTCAACACTGTTAGTCATCAGGAAGATGTTAATTAAGTCTACAGTAAGATACTACTATGCACTCAGTAGAATGGCTAAAATAAAAAAGATTGATAACAGCAAGTGTTGACAAAGATGTAGGAATACTGAATATCACTGGTGGCAGTATAAAATGGTACAACTACTTTGGAAATAAGGGGCTGGCAGTTTCCTAAAAAAATTAAACATAGGACTTCATAAAATTAAAAGCATGTGCATCAAAGGACTCGCTCAAAGGAGTGAAAAGGCAACCCCCCAAAAAGAGGGAAAATATTTGAAAATTATATAGCTAATGAGGGATTAATATCCAGCATATACAAAAAACTCAACAACAAAAAAACAAACAAACTAATTTAAACATAGGTTAAAGATTTGAATAGACACTTCTCCAAAGAAGATACACAAACAGCCAATAAACACATGAAAAGATTGCTCAATATCACAAATTATTGGGAAAATGCAAGTCAGAACCACAATGAGATACTACTCCACACCATTAGGATGACTATTACTAAAAAACTCCCAAACATAAAACAAGTGTTGGCAAGGATATGGAGACAATCGTGGTGGGGATATAAAATGATACAACTTCTGTGAAAACAGTGTGATGTTTCCTCAAAAAATTAAACAGAATTATCTTATGATCTAGCAATTCCACTTCTGAGTATATATTCAAGAGAAGTGAAAATAGGAACTTGAGCAGACATCTGTGCATCCACGTTCATAATACCTAGAAGGTGGAAGCAACCAAAGTGTCCAATGACTGATAAATGGATAAATAAAACGAGATATATATAATCTATACTAAAAGTAGAGGAATATGCAAATTTCCCAGAATGCTGTCACAGTAACGACCAAACAGAAGGCTGCATGGGGGGACCA